CATACAATAACATCTTAGAATTAGATACATAAAATAATTGTCATCACTAACACATTCATAAGGAAAATGTAGATGTCGTACCAGGACTACACATAAGTCAGAGACCGCGCAGCAGCGCTCTCTGATAGATAAACCTGGGTGCTTACTCTTGAAACCAATATCAATGTCAATGCAATTTCAATCCAAGAAAATCTCAATAATTATTCAATGTCAACACTATACAACCACAATCGTAGCTGTTACAATAGCATTCAGAGTACGGAATATAAAGACAAACTCAATACCATTTAGTTCATTCAATATCCACGCAATACGGATGCAATGGGCGCTAGTGTTGCAACTCAATAGTAAGAAATTTCACAATACCAATGTCGATCAGTCGGAATTGGATTCAAGAGTAAGCCTCCTGAACATTGTATACTGCGACCTCCAACCCGCCTACCTGCGGAGATTATGACAAACCCTCTTATGTAGAGGAAACTAGAAATATTAAAATGAAATACTTATATTACCACCAGCATACGCAATATACGCACACATACACATTCGAAATATGATTGGTCAAGAAGTTTTAAATTCTAACTATAAATAATTATAACTAAAATTCAGATATATGCATTACATGTGAACATTAGCTCATGACGATACCTAAGTACGTGTGTCGTTGACAAGTCAACCTCGCTACCATCAGTTGACTGGACAATACACTACGTGAGCTACATGTGAACATTAGCTCATGAATTTAAAAATGCATATATCTGAATGTTTTTAGAACGACTTAAATAACTTTTAATTATTAGCCACTCGATTAATTTATGATTGACAAGAACTTAAGTTATAATTTATGTTAAATCACTATAAATTATAATAAGACATTCTAAACCAAATGGATAATGTTTATACGATAGACAGCCGAAATCAATAACTGATATAATCCATGAACTAATGTCAAAAATCGATCTTAATCGGTGGCGTAGCGTGGCTTAGCGGGACCCCGTATAAAATTTAACTTTGTTTTAAGGGTCCTTATGAAAGTTAAACATTTTCTCAATTCTATTACAAGAGAAAAAAAATGTTGTAACTTGTGTAAAATCTGGAAAGCTGTCCAGACAACTGCCATTGCCAATATAAATATGAGTGTGTGCAAATACTTGTGGACGCAAAGTCTGCCATAAATGGGCCATACACGCTAGGTTATGCATGATGGTTATAACTGAAGTCCGGCGCGACCCAGGGACATGAGTAACTGTCTTGGTTTCCGCAACGAAGTGAATCAGAAGATATTATAAGAGGAGAAGAAGAAAAAACCGGTAATGCACTAGGAGAAGAAGAAAAACGATAGTTTCCACTTCCCTCGGTGAATTAAAGTATTTAATAATTTTGGCTTTCGCTCGTTGGGGGCCTCCGGACTACAGGCGCTGGATACATATAATTGATACGGTAAATAGCGCGCTGGCTACGCCCCAGATTATGATCCAAAGTTCTTGGATCTCGTCGTTTATTAATTTCGGCTATAAAGGTCTACACATTAGACAGAGACCGTGCAGCAGCGCTCTCTGATAAACCTGAACCTTGTATACTACTATGTCCAACCCTCTTATGTAGAGGAGACTCATAGTGCAACAGTAGACTGTCATATGCTAAAAAATAATGGTTGAATGTTTGTCATAGCTTAATATTAATGTTATAATTACACTTATAGTTATAATAAGGCTTAAGTTACAATTAGTGGTCAGAATAAGAGAGAACAAGGGAGAAAGAGATAGAATTATAATTACTTACTGTATATTAGAAAGATGTTACAAGACTTTAGTTTTTTTATGATATAAGTCGGTAAACGAGCAGAAGGATCACCTGATGGTAAGCACTCGGCGCCGCCCATGGACACCCGAAACACCAGAGGTGTTACAAGTGCGTTACCGGCTTTTTGGACATTAGGAGTTTGAGGATTGAAAAGATTGGGAGGGAGGGAAGGATCATGGCATAAAGTCTTTTAACCCTCGAAGGGGTAGGCAGAGGTCTACATAATTATACAATGTAACACTCACTTTTTACTATTTATGTTATGAGCCCCATGTAATAGGGGGTAAGTCTGTATATCGTAATAGTCTATTAAAAATATCTTCATTTTAAAGCTAAAGCACTAGATTTTGGAAGAACAAGACTATCTAGACTCTAATAACAGTGTAAATAGATTTTTTAGTATTTAGAATATATTTAAGCACTAGAAATATACAGCCAAGTTATATAATTACGCAGGTAGAATCAAAGACTGCTTCAGTACAGAGACAGTAACTGTCGTTATAGTACATTGTACGCTTTGTAACGAAGCCATGTGTTCTGTAACTCGGTCGGCTCTAGACAACCAATGGCTACTGTCTCTGTACTGAACCAATCTTTGTTTCCTTGCCTGCATACTAGATACCTTGGTTGAATGTAATATTTTTGAGAAAATATAATATTATTAAGGTAAAGTTAGAATATATTCGTGTGCCCGCAATACTAGGGATGTTAGACATCTACCAAAGCTAGATTAAGGGTTATCTATGTATATTGTCGCGGTGGCCCGGAGGTTTAAGACGCCCACTTCTCATGGATGAGGGTGCGGGCTCGAAACCTACCACCAGCAAGTACCAATGTGACATTTTCCGAGTTATATGTACTTTCTAAGAATATTCAGACACCACTGACAAACGGTGAAGGAAAACATCGTGAGGAAACCTGGGCTTATAATTTCTAATTATAAGTTTGAAATCGCCAAGCGATCAAGCGTGGTGGTTAATGCTCAAACCTTCTCCGTGTGAGAAGAGGCTTTTGGTCAGCGGTGGGCATTTATAGGCTGTTGATGATGATGGAATAAAACAGGAATCATATTCAACGCTGGCAAAGTTAGTTTTAAATATTTTATTTTACAATTCTTTTTGAGCGAGGAAACACCGCAATGCACATTCGTCTGTTTAGCGTAAATCTCAAAAACACTTAACTTTATTCGCTAAAACGATGTTCAAAGCTAGATTGTCTAATTGTAGTTATAAGAATATTAGTTTAACACACTTCTAACACCGAACCCTGTTACATTAACTAATGGTCGACATTTTGGCCCTTCGAAAATTTTGGTCTAAAATTCAAAAGGACGTACCCATCCAATTCCAGACCTTAGAACCTGACTTAACTTCAGACAATACATTTGTACGAGGATATTGAAATTTAAGTGAACTGCACACCTATCCGAATCCAAGCCGCAGAATGTAGAACATGGCTTAATTTCTACACATAGTAGTTAGGGTAGTTTCCTAAAATTTTATTTTAATGTCCGTCTGATACATTAATTTATATCCTGTGACGTCACAGCGTGCCACATTTCGTAGCATATTATGACGTCACGACCTCCCACTCCTAAACTTGACGCCATTGTATCTAAGTATTGCAACTTTATACGAGCAAATAAACAAATACGTGTCTAATATGTTCCATTATCTAACTGACGGACTAATTACATTTTTAATGTTCATCCTGACAACTGCCCTATTATGTGAACGAGGATATTGATTCATTGACGCACTATTCACGATCCATAATTGAAATGACTTGCACACCCATCCAATTCCAAGCCTTAGAAACAGAATCACGTCATCTAGAAGTTATTTAAAAATATACTCTAATATCGTAGATATAATACTGAATATTGCTTTCGTTTCTTTAAGATAAGAATAAGAAAAAGTTTATCATCTTACCATTTTTATATAATTCTAGTAGTCATGCATTAGTATCTAATATAAAATAAATTATAATTAATAATTATATACGTAAATATAATAATATTATAATTTTGCTTTTAAAATTAGTTATTAAATATTGTAACTTACAATACTAAGAGCCGATTTTTCCAATGCCAGATATATTTTAAAATATCTTTGAATTATTGACAATTGTTCCATATTAAATACTGTCAAATGTCAATGTTATTCTACCGTTAAGAATAGGGTATGATGTACAATGTTTATTTTAATATCCATCTGGTAGATTATTTTAAATCATTAGACACGTATTTTTTATTTTCTTACAGAAGCGAATACTTTCGACGATATATTGATTTGAAATGTCGCGTGACGTCACTTCTATGTACATTTTATACGTAGAAATGACGTTTTAGCCCCCACTCCTAAACTTTGATTCGTTATATCTAAGTATTGTTTACAAAATAAAAAAATACGTGTCTAATATTTTTTCATTACCTAACTTACGGACTAATTAGATTTTTAATGTTCATCCTGTCTCTGTCATCATCCCGATTGACTGATGATTGGCAAATCGGCCCCTAAAGTAACATATTATGCAATCTTAAATGTCTAAATTTGAAAATGAATTACACACCGGGAAATCTATTTCGTTTGCTCCCCGAAGGCTGGTTCTGTCTCAGTAATACCTCTACAATAGTTTTACAAAGGAGTAAAATGTGTAACGAGGGTTTGAAAAATAATACATGTCTATGACATTATTATCTGTGGTTGCAATGTAACGCTGGACGCCAGTAGGCGCGCGAGCGTGACCACCCCTCCCCGCCACCCGCTACCCCCCGCGCCGGCGCAGGGGGGGCGGAGAGAGAGAGAGAGAGAGAGAGAGAGAGAGCGCCCCGACTGCCGACGCGAACGGACGTCTCGAAATCCTCCGCATCTCGAAGCCGCGACGCCATATTGTTTTCTTACTAGAAGTTGCTTATAATATAAAACTAACAAAGCGTTGGACGCCAGTTCAAAGTTAAAATGTAAACAATTATTGCACTTTAAATACATTGATTGACCGACATTAGACTCGAACACAGAGTTATACATTATAAGAAACTTCTAGTAAGAAAACATAAGATAACATCACCGCTTTAACCCCCGAAGGGGTAGGCAGAAGTGCACATTACGGCACTTAATGCCACTATACAATGTAACACCCACTTTTCACTATTTATGTTATGAGTCCCATGTAGTAGTAGGTGAGCCAATTGCCACATATCGGGTACAAGTCCAAACTCCGTGCTACTACTGAGAATTTACATTGATCAAAGTATCCCACATTAAATCGAATTTCTAAGATCTAATTATATAATTAAGACTTAACGCTAGGAGCATAAGGTACATATTGGAATGCGTAGAATCATAAGCACAGCTTTCAAGGGGAAATGATCCTTGCGTAGATGTTATAAGGTTTGGTTCACCGTGGCAGTTGTGGCGAGCTCGACCTGCGCGGCCGACGCTTCACTTTGCGAGTTACAGTTTCTTCAGTAATCTGAAATAAAAAAAATCTAAAATGAAATCCGAATCTCCAATCTCAAATCTCAAATCCCCAATCCCGTATCCCCAATCCCGAATCCCAATCCCCAATCCCAATCCCAATCCCAATCCCCAATCCCAATCCCAATCCCCAATCCCAATCCCAATCCCCAATCCCAATCTCCAATCCCAAATCCCAAATCCCCAATCCCCAATGGATTCCATTACTTACACAAGCCGTAACTCTCGCGGGAACAGGCGGTGGTTGCTTCTTCTTCTCTTCTCTCTTTTCTCCTACCTTCTCACTCCCAATCCCACTACTAACCGCACTCTTAACTCCACTAGTGGACGAGCTAGCGGCACCACTCTCTATCCCACTCTCACTTTCCGTTTCTATTATACTTCTGTCTCTTTCCGTATGAGTTTCGACCGAAGCTAGACTTTCTACGGTATCTCGTTTTTGGTGTAGCTGTGGGGCGTAGCTTTCGATGCTAGTTCTGTCTCTGTCTATCTGCTGGGGAGGTGCGAAGGAGGTCGGAAGGCCGGAGGGAGATGGCGAACAGTTGTCAGCGGCCGTTGAACAGGATGCGCGCGCCGAGTCTGACCTGGAAGATGATGAAAGAGTATAAGAAATCAGATAGCAAGCAATCATTCAGTAAGCAGGTTTGAAAACAACGATTGTTTCAGTTCAAAGACAGTACCCAGGTTGCAAGCCTTTCGGTTTTCTACCGGATACATTTCGGTAAGCGTGCGAGGGAATTGCACAACTTGATTCTCCTAGTCCTTCCCATCATCGTACCACAAGACAATCGGCGAAGCGTCACCGATTCATGGTATATGTCCCACCCACACGCACGAAGCACTTCGCATCAAGCTTCCTTGTGCGTACTGCTAAGGAGTGGAATTCCATAGTCTGGATTTCCTCAAGGGTCCTTCATAACCTGGGTGTCTTCAAGGCCCGAGTGAATAGGTTGTTTATGGGACGACGTGCTCCATCGTAGACCACATAACCGCTTACCACGGCAAGATAGTGGTCAATCGTCGCCTCATCAAATAGATGTATAAAAATAAACCATTGGTTGTCTAGAGCCGACCGAGTTACAGAAGACATGGCTCCGTTACAAAGCGTACAATTTAGTATAACGACCAGAATCTGTCTGTGACTTTGCTCACACAAATAGACGATCCCTCTTTTCCCGCCCCCCTACACTTACGCCCCTACACTTCCCAAAGAAGTTATGCTAAGTTTCAACTTCCTAGGTCTAGTAATTATGGCTATGCGTTGTTGTCAGTCAGCCAGTAACTTATAAACAAAGAGATAGCTACTTTATATTTCAGTGACGAACCAGACCCAAACGTACGGCGCCGAGCGTTCCGCGCGCGCTTCAAAGAGCCATCAAACCACCACGGATAGGACCCAATAGGGTTGATGTCGATATAGAGCCGCGGAGGACTTGACGGGTTGCCGGGGCTCACGCTCGAAGTGCGAGAGTAGGAACGGGGTGTATGCTGCCTCACCCAGGCGGGAGAAGCCATTCGATGATTTTCTTCCCTTAAAAAATATTTCAGACTACCTACCGATGCTCGGCGCTGCGTCCCCCGGATCACAAGACGGTGTCCATCGTATGTAGCGAGCTCAGCAGTGCGGGGTCGCGGCTGCACCAGTGCGCCAGCTCGTCCGGAGTCACCACGCCGTCACAGTTGGTGTCCATTAGCTGGAACAGTAGTTGGTGTAGTGTAGTGTAGTTTTAGAAGGTGATCTGTTTGGGGTCACGACTGCATTAATGAGCTAGAAGTAACAGTCCACTGCTGTACTTTGAGACTCCCTTAAATAAGAGGGTTTGCTATCAAAGTGCTGCTGAACTTACTCAGCGAATAGCCTCAAAGTTGGCGGTTCTAGCTTATATTAAAAGCCTACTTTCTATTATGCTCTGCCGTTACTATACGACTGAGCATATACACGTGCCAAGTTCCTTTTTTAATATTTGCATGAAGAGTAAGATCAGTGAAAAATGTACCACCATTTTTGAACTTAGGAAGACTTCATAACAACTAAAGCACTGTTCGACCGGAGTGATACCACGGCCTCACAGGAAACCAACATAAAACCATGCTTGCAATGTTTCAAGCCGCGTGAATGAGGTTAGCGACAGTCATCCCATTCCTAACATCTAAATCCTGAAACCTTTATTTTTTTATACCACGACGGTGGCAAAATACGCACACGGCCTACTTGATGGTAAGTGGTTACCGTGGCCTACGTACGCTTATAACACTTGGGGCATTACATGCGCCTTGCTGACCCTTAATAAACCTATTTACTCCCTTCTTGAAGAACCCCATGTTGTAGCCCACCAGAATAACCTCGGCAGGAAGTTCATTCCATACTTCGAGGGTCCGTGGGAGGAAATTCCTCTGAAACCGAACTGTACGAGACCATTTGGGCTCCAATATGTCAGCGTGAACTCCCTGTCGATGGCGAGCGGTGCGACGATAGAAAGTGGCCGTGGGCATCATATCGAACAACTCCACAGAACACAACCCATTATACAAGCGGTAGAATACGCACAAGGAGGCAAAACTCTAAACCCTCAAAAGACTGGAAAGCAGACAACTCTAGTAAGCATTAACGCCTCTGGTGTACCAGGTGTCCATGGGCGACGCCGATTGCTTACCATCAGGCGATCCGTTTCCTCGTTTGCCGGCCTATCCCTCAAAATACTATAGAACCATAAACAAAATTCTACTTACATGGAAGATCCGATCAACGTGGTCCTTAGCAGCCGTGCTATGGACAGGCGGTGCAGCAGCTCGTCCCAGCAGCTCGTATATAGCTTGCACCACAGCGAGCATCTCAGAGCGGGAAATTCTGCCGTCTCCATCTACGTCATACAGGGTGAACACCCAGGATAACTTCTCCTGGACGGAGCCGCGAGCCACGCGAGAAAGGATGTCGAGGAACTCCTGAAAATATCGGAAGAATAAATAAATAAATAAATAAGAAAGCCATTTATTTCTTACCAGTAATTTTACATTTTACTCAAAAGGCCGGTAACGCACTTGTACCGCCTCTGGTGTTCCGTGTGTCCATGGGAGACGCCGATTGCTTACCATCAGGTGATCCGTCTGCTCATATACCGGTTTATGCCATAAAAAAATCTACCTATTTGTACGGTGTGAGCAGGAAGCATTGCAATTGTTATATTATACGCGATTAGTATGTCAGTACAGTGCATTATTTCATCCACTCCAAGTCGACCTTCGCTCAATGCCAGTATAACAATAAGCTAATAACTAAATTACTTCTAAAAATTGTACCTAGATAAAACAAGATCGTGTTTTATGAAGACTGTATAAACAAATTCGACTGAAATTAATTTCAGTAATGCTCTTAACGTAATGAGAACCTTCTTTGAGCTGTATTACTGCTGTAGGCAGTACCGTCATTACCATAACTTGGGGCCCGTGTCCAGGGCCCCCGTACTCAGGGGCCCCGAAGGACCGACAATTTCTACGACGGACAAAAATTCGCTCCACGTTGCACGGCATCCGGCTGCGGTTCGATTCCCGCACTGAGCGAATCTTTGTAACATACATTAACATAACATCACGCCTTAATCCCGGAAGGGGTAGGCAGAGGTACACATTATGCCACTGTACAATGTAACACCCACTTTTCACAATTTATGTTATGAGTCCCATGTAATAGAGGGTGAGCTTATTGCCATATACCGGGCACAATTCCAGACTCCGTGCTACTACTGAGATTTTTTTTTATTCAGTAATACTTTGCCCGACCCGGGAATCGAACCCGAGTCCCCTTGCCCGGCAGTCGCAGTTGCGACCACTCGGTCAACGAGGCAGTCTTTGTGTGGTCCACAAATTATTGTTCCGTGTCTGTGTGTCATGTGTATGTGAACTTGTATGTTTGTAAACGCACCCACGATACAGGAGACAATCCTAGTGTGGGGTAAAGTTGAAAAAAACAACAATTATTTCACAAGGGCCGGGAATTATTTTGGGTGCAAGGGCCCCAGCGTAGTCAAAGACGGCCCTGGCTGCAGGCTTTATTTTTCAGTACATTAACTTTACCAGATGAAAATTTCAATTTTTGGATTCATTGAAGGATTTCATTTTTTTTTAAATAAGTAACTACTTAATAATACAATTGCTTTTTACCGACTTCAAAAAAGGAGGAGATATTATGTTTCAATGATTGTTTTTGTTGTTATAATGGAAATTGGTTTTTAAATCAATAATAATGTGAACAGAGTGGAATACATTTGCCTCCAAGTTCACTCTTCTCGCGGGTGTCGTATACCCGGCTAAGACACTCCACATTAGACAGACCGTTCAGAAGCGCTCTCTGATCTCAAACCTAAACCTTTTATACTGCGACCTCCAACCCGCCTGCCTGCTACGCTCGGGTCTGGTTCTGGTCGGGCGGCGAGCCACCCATGCTCGCCGTCCGCAGGCCCGCGCTTACGGTGGCCGGAGATCGTCCCGCGATCCCCGACGCCCGGAGTGTCCTTCGCGATGGCTGGGTTATGAGGAAGCAGCGCTTCGCTGCCTCACGCGCCCCGCCTCCTCCTTAGCTAGCATGACTGCTTCGCAAAAGGAGGAGACGGCATCCCAGTCCCCCTCGCTCCGCATCATGACCCGCACAAGGGCCGGACACGAGAGGTCGCCATCGCCAAATAACCGGACGCGAGAGGTCGCCGTCACCGATCACGTCCTTGAGGGCACGGCGGTGCTCAGCCCACGTAGGGTATTCCCCTACTGTGTGTTCCACCGTGTCCTCAGGGCGGTCTTCGCAGTGATGACACCCGAGCGTTTCCTCCCGCCGTATCAGACGCAGGTACCTCCCGAAGCTCCCATGTCCGGTGAGGACCTGCGTCAGGCGGTAGGTGAGGACGCTGTAACGTCTCTCAAGCCACTCCTCAAATAAGGGAGTTACCGCTGCAATGGCAGCAAGCCCAAACAGAAAAGGGTAGCTTGACCTGCTGACCACTGTACAATGTAACACCTACTTTTCAGCAGTTACACTATGAGGCCTCCGATGTAATAGGGGGCGAGTCTCGCTTTAGGCATCTCCGTATTATAAAAAAAATCGAATATCAAGAACCAAATACCAGCACATAAAAGTACCCTAAATTAACCAAAATATTTATTAGATTTTCGACTTTAGCGTCAAAGTAATAAGGATGAAAATCTCTGACAGTTCAGGGTAGCTAGATGTGCTTGTACATATTTTTTGCTCTTTATTTTAATAAGGTCCATAAATAATTATATTTTCTTCTGCGGCAAAGATTTTGTTTTATAAATATTAATTTTTATGCAAAATATATCCAAGGAAGGGTCGAAACATTTCGTTCGAATACCTATTTCATGCATATTTTATAAGTTAGCATATTTTTACGATCATATCAAAATTCTATATCTATGACCGGAGTTATATATTACAAAGAAATACCGACTTTATTTTCTTATGCATAAAATCGAATTTTCTCTTCCGATGAAATCAAAATTTGATCTACTACTAGAATTGAAATACAATGGAATTTTGTCTTTATTTTGTGGGTCATAAAGTTGGGATTCCCTTTACTGTAGTTTGACAGTTTTGACAGTTGTCGCGCGCCAATATTTGATTTTTTTTATATTTAGATGTAGATTCTATATTCGGGTAAGAGGGTTTTGAGCCGCTGTCGGTACAGTGTGTTTATTTTATTACTTTTAAATATTTTAAAGATAAGAATTAATAACAAGTACAATGACGAAGCTTCAAAACCCTAGTCAATTAAATTTTGGCCATATTTTTATAGGGCTTAAAAAAATGGAGGCTCGCAGTTTGACCTGTATTTATGTGAGTACACTAGTGATTTACAGCTCCTCCGTAGTTGAAAGCATGACAATATGTAGCCTATATGTTGACCCGACCTGTTAGTAATATTCATGCAAAATTTGAAGTAAATCCATGCAGCACTTTTTGAGTTCACCCCGGACATACAGACATACATACATACAGACAAACAGACAAAAATTCTAAAAAAGATATTTCTGGTTTCGGTATCGCTTGTAGATCACGCTCAACTATCTCGCGGGTGGCTGAACCGATTTTGATGCGGTTTTCAGAAAAGTATTTGTTACGCTTGGGAGAAGGTTTCTGTATATTAATAACGGAATTTAAAAAAAAGAGGAGATTCAAGCCTTTTTTTAAACGAACGTACCTAGTTTATAAAAGAGTTATTGTTTCGTGTTTTATTCCTAACCGACTTCAAAAAATGAAGGACGTTGTTAGTTGTATTTTTTACTTGAAACCTTGAAAATACAGATTGCTTCAGTACAGAGACAGTAGCTGTCGTTATAGTACATTGTACGCTTTGTAACGAAGCCATGTCTTCTGTAACTCGGTCGGCTCTAGACAACCAATGGCTACTGTCTCTGTACTGAACCAATCTTTGTTTCCTTGCCTGCATACTGAATGACTTGGCTGAATGTACTGTGCATGTTTCGGAAATCAAACCAACGTATACACATCCCACTAGCCTACCTTCATCAACAGCCTATAAGTGTCCACGGCTGAATAAAGGCCTCTTCTCACGGAGAAGGTTTGAGCATTACTCTACATCTCTACTTCAAATCGGCCTAATTTAGCGTAAATGAAACAAATCCTTACTAATATTATAAATCGGAAAGTGAGTTTGTTTGTTTGTTTGTTCCGCTTTCACGCCGTAACTACTAAACCGATTGCTTTGAATTTTAGCAGACGTAAAGTTAGAAGTCTGGATTAAATAATAGGGTACTTTTTATCCCGGAAAATTTTGATATTCTCGAGGGAAAACAAAATTATTGGTATAGATGGCGCTGTGTGTATTGGTACCTATATGTCACATAGGCTACTTTGTATCCTTTTATGACGCGAGCGAAGCCGCGGGTAAAAGCTAGTGCAGCTATAAATAAGCATTAGCTAAAATATAAATGTCACGGCTCAATAAATTGAAATATTTGTTATTCTGCGCTCGCACTGAAACTGAAAGATTTATCCCTGAATAAATATGCTGTAACTTACACTTACAACTGATTTATGTAATTATTTTCAAATGCTTTTAGTATACTAACGAATATTAATGGCTAACCTAATTGGCTAATACATTTGTCACCATCCCTGCTCTTCCCGCGGGTATCGTCGCCCCACACACATAACACCAACAGTCTATAACTGTCCACTGCTGAGCAAAGCCTCTTCTGACATGGAGAAGGTTTGAGCATTAATCACCACGCTTGCTCAATGCGGGTTGGCGATTTCAAACTTATAATTAGAAATTATAAGCCCAGGTTTCCTCACGATGTTTTCCTTCACCGTTTGTCAGTGGTGTCTAAATAATCTTAGAAAGTACATATAACTCGGAATAAGTCACATTGGTACTTGCCGTTGGTAGGTTTGGAACCCGGGCCACCACGATACATTACCTAGCCTACCAACCAACTATTAAACTAAAACAATACCATAATTTACTTTAGTTAACTTGTTTTCAGCTTCCTCTACTGAAGCTGCCAGAAAACTTTGAAAGGGGAGTTCTAATTACACCAGTTTAATAGCATATTCTATGTATCACCAGTTTAACTAGACCTCTCTAAGTTGAAATGTCAAGATATACTGGATTGAGATAGAAATAGTATCGGTCCATTATAATTTGAACTCAGAAATTTCTCTTTGGGAATTTCTATGGGGAAACCAAATTAATAATAATAGTTAAAGTGCTTATGTAATATAACGGTTGCTTATTGTTCAAGGGTTAGACAGAGACGCAAATTTTACCAGTTAAGTTAGGAATCTACAGTCCACTGCTGCACTATGAGTCTCCTCTACATAAGAGGGTTTGTCATAATCTCCGCAGGCAGGCGGGTTGGAGATCGCAGTATAAAAGGTTCAGGTTTATCAGAGAGCGCTGCTGCACGGTCTCTGTCTAATGTGTAGTCTCTTAGTCGGGTATACGACACCCGCAGGAGGAGTAGGATGAATTATTATCTACTATTTCGTATATTAATAGTTAAATAACATATTTTCGTGTTAATGAATTTAAGTTAAATTGACTAGGTTTCAATATATACTGGATAAAATTAATATTTAGTAATGACTACTATAACTTCGACTCTATTCTAGGCTTTTGTGTTAAAACAATTCAGTTAATATCAGTTACATAACATCACGCCTTTTATCCACGTAAGTCCAGGGTTTAGTCCAGGGGTAAGCAGAGGTGTACATTACGGCACTTAATGCCAATGTACAATGTAACACCCACTTTTCACTATTTATGTTATGAGTCCCATGTAATAGGGGGGGGGGGAGCCTAACGCCATATACCGTGCCATATCATATAAGGTGATCCGACAGAGAGCTAAAGTTACCGACGCCCAGCCCAAAGGATTAGCAAGCTGAAATGGCAGTAAGCCGGTCACATTTGTCGAAGAACTGATGACTGTTGACATATTCTGGAGTTGAGACCGCGTCTAGGCAAACGTATTGCAGGGCGCCCTTCAGATAGGTGGGGTGACGAGATCTGCAAGGTGGCAGGTAGTGGTAGGTATTGGATGCGTAGAGCTGAAGGTTGAGTCCAACGGCGTGCCATTGGAGAGGCCTACGTCCAGCAGTTGACGAGAACAGGTTGTTAATGAACAGTTCCAAAGATTACTGCGAAGGGACTCACCTCAAAGTTGACTTTTCCACTTTGCTTGTGTTTTATTGTCTTGAAGACGTAATGCGCGTATTGAGTTGCATCTGAAAATATGAAATAAAGAATTTTAGGAGATCCAATTACCCTATTGGGGAAGGAGGGGTCTTCCCCAATTTCCCCTATCCCTGAACCACCAAGATTCCTCAAATTCCTAATCCCTAAAAGGCCGGTAATGCACTTTTTTACGGGGACAAGCCCACCACAGCCTCCCAAAACCGCTGCAACTCCTGTAAGCCAGGATCTACAGTAGATATAACCATGAATACCCCGGAACATTGAAGTCCGGCGCGACCCAGGGACATGAATAACTGTCTTGGTTCCCGCAACGAAGTGAATCAGAAGATATTATAAGAGGAGGAGAAGAAAAAACCGGTAACGCACTTGTAACGCCTCTGGTGTTCCAGGTGTTCATGGGCGGCGCCGATTGCTTACCATCAGGTGATCCGTCTGCTCGTTTACCGGGTTATACCATAAAAAATTTAAGAAATATTAATCAACTACATCAGTGCAAATATTATCTGATACAAGTATTTTATTGATTGGTAACGTATGTCGTATATAAGGCAATACGGTATTTGCCAACTATAGTCAGAATTTTAATTAGATTCCAGATTTGACAATAGCTACTGTCATTTTGTGAAATAATGATACCACATATAATAGTGTAGTGATGAACACAAAAATCGATAAACAATCAGTATGTGTGTTTTATAATAAATGTTACAGAAAGTGACAGAATAGCGATAGCGATGACGGCGACAATTTATAAAATAACTTATTACCATAATACATCCATCTGTTTTATTTGTCATGTTCCTTCATGATTACATTTTTTTATTTATTTCACACGCAATTATAAAAGAAAAGTCTCAGATCGTTAATTAATCGTCAAACTAAATTATCGGTTCAGAAATATTTAATTTCCTGATATAATTAGTTTACGGGAGTAAAATAATAAACGAGAAGAATCAATCCAGAAATATTGCATTTCCATATCGAATAATTTCGCAACGTCACTATTTAGTACTTGTCATAACGTTGCAACACTGAAATTGTCAAATCTGGAATCGAATTAAAATTCCGAGTATAGTAGAGCTTTTCTCAGTATATTTACGTCAGTAACCCACGATTTTAAGTTAATCTGGATTAATACAGTGTCAAACCCAAATATTAGAGTATGCAATTCGATACTCAAGTTTTGTAAATGGGAATGAATGTGATTGTTTTAACAAATATAATAATATGTTCGGTGTTATCACAAACTAATTTAATTGTGGGAGAGCCATGCTTCGGCACGAATGGTCCGGCTCGACCGGAGTGATACCACGGTCTCACAGAAAACCGACGTAAAGCAACGCTTGCGTTGTGTTTCGTCGTGTGAGTGAGGTTACCGGAGGCCCAATTACCCTCCCCTTCCCCAATC